AAAAAAAAAGTACTCTTGCCCAGGGCGCTATAAATGTATCAGAGCTATATCTACCGCTGAAGAAGATGAATCGAAGCTCCACATACTTATTTACCGCTAATTAACTTTCAGGGCAGTTCTTTCCTTCAATGTGTTGACCGGAATTCTTTCTCCTCGTATTTAATGCATATATTTAGTAGAAGAAAACGTTAGTGAGCGATGAAAAACTGCTGACCAATCGTTAACTTTTCAATCAGTCAACAAATAGCACTCAAACGCCAGTACAGTATTTAAACTGCAGCATTCTGAACGAAAATAAACCACAGCAAAACTGACGACCCTTCCTTAAAAGTCCAGTAATTGAGCTTATGAACTCAAATACGACGAATAAACCTCCATGACTCATAAAAACCTAAAGCACCTCTCTAGAACTAAAAGCTTTCAGACTCAAAAGCATATGGCCGCACAACAGGCTTCATGACATGAATGGCAGTGCCCATCATCGACTGTGAGTCTTCAGTGCTGACCCCCTTCTCTGGAATGAATTTGAAGTTCGGTATTTGGGCAGTTGGAATAGTGCCCACCAAAGGACTTTCGCTGCAAAAAACCGCTACAGAAGGATTAAAAGTTTTTCGTACTTTCTTACGGCATTGTTTGTACAAGAAGGTTTATCACTAATTTGATGCCAAAAATCTCTTTGCCAGTGGAGTTGTGATTTAGTAATGCAGCCGGCTGGCAACTCACGAAAGTGTTGGTTTGAATTCAATTTATGAACTTCTTACCCGGTTGGATTTGGCAGTTCTGTGAGTATACTGAGGCACAACACTGTCCGCCAAAATTGCGACTGCCTTTTTACCTACTGAAGTACACTAAATCCTGACCTTCTTTTTGAAGTATTCACTGAAATAGAAGTGAGAGTGATTGTATTTCAGTACTCTTTTTCTTACTTTTCTGGTGAAATAATTTTGTTTTTAGCTTAATGAAATCTATAAAGTTTTTCTCACTTTTTGGTTCTAGAGAGTCCAGTTGTGATATGTGAGATTACTTTGTAGGATACCTAACCCAGTTTTCTTAAAACTTATTATTTGTGTAACGGAATAAGTTGATTTTGAGCATATTTAAGTCACTTTTTCTCATTTATATTCAACTCCGGTTCACTATTTATAAACAGGTCACTGTTATTGTATTCATCACAATTGTGGCTAAGTAGTGTAGTCTTACTCTCGACTAAAGGAGTGCTTTTGAAGGTTTTTCCATTTCTAAAATTCTTCTAGTTAGTTGAGGGTTACTCCAACATCATAAAATTATTATGAAGCTAGAGAGGAAACTCGTGATATTAGCCTTCTACTGGGTTATATCTTACCGAACTGTGAAATTTTGTAGCCTTTGTTTTACAACCCATAAATAATTCAAGTTTTTTTTATAAATTATTGCAAAAAAAAGTTAAGAAATAGTAAAATGTAAAGTTAAAAGGAAAACTACAAGAAAAGTGACATTTTAATTTGAACAGGAAAAAGCGACAGAACTTTTAATCTTACTAAATAAAAAAGCTTCCAAAAAGGAAAGCTTGAAGTTCCAGACTTAAAATGTACCAAATTAACCGGATTACGTAGACAGTCCCAGCTTATTTCAATGAAATTTGGCACTCATACTGTCTTTCCACTTTCGCAATTTCTTTGCTGTTTTTAAAGTCGTTTCCATCGTAAGTTTTTTGAAAGGCATATTATTGCAAGTCTGTAGAGAAAGGCTTTTATAAGAACTTGTTATTGACTGCTTTTTTCACCCTACTGTGCCTAACAAATCCTACTTCCTTTTCCTTCTAAATATTTACTAAGTTTCCTACTTATTCTCACTTTCAAAAATGGTAGTTATTTTTCATCATTGTTTTCCAGCATTTCTTATTTGATAAAAAAAAAATTTTCCAGTCTCTCACCAATAATGTAACGAGATAGATCCAAAAATAAAGGTGCCTTCGTATTTTGACCATTTTCTTAAGGAGAATATGAAGAAATAAATGCCCACAATAAATCTGTTTCTCTTCCTTATTTTCCAGTTCTTTTTCAAATATTTTTTATTTTATTAGTATTATCTTTCAATATTTTCTTGTTCAATAGGAAGTTAAGTTATTTTAGTCTTTTACTTTAAAACTCCCTGGTTTCTTCATTCCAGAGATCGCTTTATGCTTGTTTCTGCATACCCTTCTACTACTGCCTACATAGAATATTGAAAAAAAAAAAAAAGACATAGCAGCAGATTTTCGGACAATAAACAAAGTCATCACAGTAATTAAGGAAAAAATTGTAAAAAATAAATGTACCTTTTATTTTTACCAAAATCTCAGCGTAAAACAGGCTACTGAGGTGAAGATATTAAAGAAAAACCTAGTATCGGTATCACGTCATAAACAGGTGTCATGGAAGTTCAGCATACTTCTACGGAAGTAATTCGCCGAACGTTCGTATAACACAGTGGCAGTGTGCCAAGATTGCTGGACGCAATCCAAAAGACACTTTCGTTTTTAAAAATTCACATACCAAATTAGACATATCTAATTTGAGGCGCTGGTGAATCTGGTGACTTTGTGACTAATTGCTTGTGCTCTTCAGGAGCTTTAGTGCATGTAAAAAGTTGACACTGTTAAGTCAAAAAAAGTTTCATTTAACAGCCCTAGAACGGTGATTTTAGTACATTTCGGACCTGTAAGGATGGTCTTTGGAAAGCATTTGCTCTAAAAATAGGTTTTCTTCATTTGTCATGGTGGTAAATGCCACTAGAAGAGTTCTTTTTATCTTCTGTTTAATTTCGCTTTCACGCTTACCGCCACAAAAGACACCTTTATGGAAATTAATGGAGTAGTCTGAAATCCGACATGTTCATCCAAGTACTTTTGGTTCATTATAAAGCCAAAAAAAAAAATCTGGCCGTTTTAGGCACACCGGTTTTGTTTTACAGCGGTTTCCTTGCTCGAAAAAGTACTACCGTAGAATTCTTCACAAAGTTCCTAGCCGTCATTTTTTGTGTTTTAATATGATTTACAATTGTAATTGTTCGTTGCGCTGAACAGTAACCATGTAGTCATACTGATTTTGCAGTTTATTGGCTGCGTATTGGTTCATGACATTTGCGAGTGAGTCGGCACGGCGAACTGTTGATGCCGAGTTTAGATCTGTACGTAGTGGAGTAATCTTTGATGACGCAATGGGCCGAGTAACACCACATCCGCATTATAAAACAGAGAGAGTTGGTTTTATAACTTCATTTTTTTTCTCAACATTCTTTTCATTCTCGCATATAATTTGTATATTTATAGCTATTTTATTTAAATTGTTTATTGTTCTTTATTTTGTGTAAAATTCTTCAAATTCTGTTAAACCTTAGCAATCGGTTCCGCAGGCACGGATAATATACGCGTTTCGATTGTAGTTTTCAAATCGCTTGTAGGGGACAACTACGGGACTTGATTTTTTAATAGAACGTACTTGGAATGGTGAACCCGTGGATCATAAACCGATCAGTATTCATATGCAATGGCTTTTCGAGAAAGTTGCAGGCAAACCGCATAAACGTGCTATTCGTGTTTCTTTTGAATCGCCTCTTTTTGACGATCCGGACGCTCCCGACGAGTTGCCCGGAATATGTCCAGGAGTAAGGCTTTCTATTATTTTCAATCAGCTGTAATTTGATTGCCATTACAGCAAAAACTCTTCATGAAATTTTCCAGTTATGGAATTTCGAAGTTGTGGAATTCTTTTTTGCTAATGCTAAAAATCAGTATCTGGAAGTAGAAGTGGGACCTCATGGGCATTGGCTCTGTTTATTACATGACGGTATTCGGAAACCGTTCAATAATGGTGAAGATTTACAACTGGAAGTGCAAAACGTATTTCGAGATGAAAGCTGGTTTTGCGTTTTAGACATACCTTTAGCATATCTTCCCGGAGGTAGTTCTTATGCTGTTCTTTGGATATTATATTGTTACGATATTTCCTGTAGTTATAAATCATATTAAACAAGTGTTCTAAGTTTACCATTTACTGATTGGTTTTTTGTCAGGATTTTACTTTAAATCTTCCTTGAAACTCCGGCTTTATTTATTTCCAGCTGTGGAAACGTTTAATGCTTATGCAATTCACGGTTCTGGAGAAAACAGAGTATATGAAGCGTTAACTCCAGTAACAGATGGAACTTATGAAACGCCAGATTTTCATCGATTACAATTCTTCCATAAGATTGATTTAAGAAAAATAGTTCCAGAAGGTTTTAATGTGACCTCTTTCAATGATTTAAAGTACGGTGATCTTTGGGAGGGTAGATAACCTGTTGCCCTGACATTGTTTTATAGATGGCTTTTTTTTGTGGTGCACTGCTTGACGTTTAGCGTGTACTTCTGAAGGCCGTTTTTCTGTTCATTAATGGAAAATAGGATCTACGAGTTTGACAAGTGAGTGTTCACTTATCTATAAGGTTTTTGAAAATTTGTTTTCTAATAGGTTTTTTTACCG